AGTTAAATCTTCTGTTTATTCAGCAACCGCTATAGGGATTTCCTGAATTTCTTTTGCGGGGTGTATTTGGAGTTTCCAAGCGAGAGCGCCCTCTGGCTATCGGATGGAGATTTACTACTGATCACAGAACCGTGCTTCACTGAAAGATACGCATGACAATCGCAACTTCTGCGTAATCGCGATTTATCGTCTTTGCGATTTAATTTCGATTAATCGTGCAGCCCTACATCAGAGATTGCAGAGAGAACTGAGACTCACGTTGCGTTTTCAGTGAATTATTCCAGTGTGTTTCGCTTTAAAACACGAGCTCTGTCATATTCTGTGATTGTCTCTGAAGAGCGTGAGCCCTCACACGTCACACGCGCTGTGTGAAGTACAGACTGAACGGATTGTGAACACATCTCACCGCTGTATGGCCAGATGAGACGCGACTGGATAACCAGTCTCGCTAGTAAAGTTTTGATAGATGATTTCTCGATTGGATAACCAGTGTCTCGTTAGTAAAGTTTTGATGGATGAAGACTGCAATCAAGGTAAAGACGATTGCAGTGGCATACAGGAGTCGTACAGTAAGCACGCGTGAGTCCGTTATATTAATGCGTGTATGAGTGCTCGACGCACTGATCACACATTGTATTTATGCACAGGCACAGACATTTCCGTACATTCACGTTGTTGATTTGTCATGTGTATGTTGCTGTGTTTAGTTATTCTGAATGGATCCGTGTACTGTAGTAGATATATGCAGTCAGCAGGCGGTTGGTTTAGGAGTTTTTGGCATCTCCATTTGGTCCTGTTCGGTATCGCAACTTAACTTCTCTAAAATGTAAAAAAGCACTTTGCTGTTGCACTGTACACATACTATACAATTCTTATATTTTTTAGCAATTTTTTTTCATATGTGCTTATATGGGCTCCTTATATCATTTGGTTCTTTGGTGTCCTTTCGGAGTTTCTAAGTGTCCTTTTATGGAAAGTGTCCTTTTAAAAAGGGTGTGATTAATTAGATGAAAAATTTTAATCTATTGACAGCCCTAATTGTTAGTAACATTTTAGAATAATTTTATGGGGAAGATTACAACTCTGCCCACCCACAGCCATCGGTTGTAGAGGTGTAAGAAAATATCGATACACGTGAACATCACGGTTTTTTTTTGGCGATACGGTATCGATTTTCAAAAACGCAATATCGATATTTATAAAAAATTAAATAAAAAAAAAAAACATACAAGATTCATGGCAGTTGTTTCGTTTTGAGTTTATATCCTGACCGCTAGATTGTAGGGATGCAGCGATTAACCGGTTTCACAATTAACCGCGCTTTAAAATGTCACGGATAATTAATCGTAAAGGCTCCGCTACACCGAGTGTTTCTGTTGCACAGAACAGAACAGTTGTAACGTGCGCAAAACGAAAAGCTTCTCACGCTCCTATAGCTTGCCAGTCGGTGGGCAGGAACAAATTAGTTGTCTGCTTTTTGAAGGGGTCCAGGAGGCTTAACCCGCCTCGCCCCTTTACATGGGCTCTGCCCACTGTTCTGAGTGCTCTTAAGAACCCTCCCTTTGAGCCACTACAGTCAACCGACCTTCGGGTCCAGTCGCTGAAAACCGCTCTGCTACTGGCTTTAGCATCGGTCAAGTGAGTGGGAGACTTGCAGGCGGTCTCTGTGAGCCCTTCTTGCCTTGAGTTTGGGCCCAGCGACTCTAAGGTCGTCCTGAAGCCAAGGCATGGTTATGTTGCTAAAGTGCTCTCCACTCCGTTTAGAGCACAGGTCATTACACTCTCTGTGCTTCCTCCCTCGGAGGAGGACCAAGAGTTGTATTTACTCTGCCCCGTAAGGGCACTGAGAATTTACATTGAGCCTTCCGCCCCGTTTAGGCAGTCAGAACAGCTCTTTGTGACCGGATGACCCTTGGTGCGGCCACCGAAGCAAACAAAGCAGAGTCTTTCCCGGTGGATAGTTGACGCTTTTACACTAGCATACTCTTCCTTGGGCCTGCAATGCCCCATTGGAGTGCGAGCCCACTCCACCAGAGGCGTGACCTCTTCTTGGGCTTGTCTAGCGGTGTGTCTATCACAGAAATCTGTGCGGCGGCCGGCTGGGACTCGTCGTCCACATTTGCTAGGTTTTACAACCTGGACGTCCCTACCTTACAGGCTAGAGTCCTTTCTGCAGAGTTGGCACGCACCTGCCAGAAGGCGGGATTAGCTCTGAGGAAGGTTTTGCTGTGACGCGCTCAAAATCGCCAGAATTGTTTTACTTCTTGTACACTCTCTGAACTCCCTAAGTGCCGAGGCTGTACAAGTTTTTTCTTGGAACGATTACCCAGACCGGGCGTGACCTCTGTGAGTCTAGTCCGTCTGCCACATGAAGGGCTTACCCTATTATACTTGTCCCACTGAGCCCCTTGTGTGCTTAAGGGAATTTCACATATCCATAGCACGGTGTGATTGTATTGGTTCCCATAGCATCTAGTGACACAGTACGAGTTAAATATCAAAAGGGAACGTACTCGGTTACTAACGTAACCTCGGTTCCCTGAGATACGGGAATGAGTATTGCGTTGCTAGCCGTGCTATGGAGCTGCATGACTCAGTGTTGTCGCTTCAGTCGAAGTAACCTTAGGATCCTATGCCAGAATTAACTTCACAGACTTCATTGAAGGAGTGCCGCCACGCGCATGCACGCCAAACAGACAGAGCACAATAGAACAGGAGTGCAATAATTGTCATATGTAGAATTTTAAACCTACAAGTGTATTTTATGATAACAGATAACAGTAATGGGGTAATCAAAATATAATGCAATTAATCTGTGCTCTTGTCTTACTTTAATTTTTAGATTAGTGAATTGAACTTATGTTTTAAAAAGCATTATTTTTGTTTTTAGTAATGTTAGAATGTAAAGTGATTTTAGCCCCCTTTTTGCACATAATGGATAGTATAGCCTACTTTCACTATATTTGTTTTCATTATAAAATATAAACATTGTTTCACTGGACAACATTGGGCACGCTGTATAAATAAATACATTTAAAACAAACAAACAAACAAATAAATAATTTTAATCCAAATAGAAAATGTAGAAAATATCTACATCTTTTTATAAGAGTTATATACCGTATATCGCATTTCAGCCCAAAAATACCGAAATATGATTTGGCCATATCGCCCAGCCCTAGACTGAAGAACAAATAATGTTGAAACTAGAAATGTATCTTGTTTCCCTCTATCAAAACAACTGCATAGAACATACATGTCTGAGTGGCATAAATATTACTTTCCAAAATTTGCATACCTGTAACTCAAGAAGCATTAAAGGTATCTCAATATGATTTTAGAATCTGGTCCTTTTTTTTTCTTGTCAGCTGAGCCTCTTTCAACTAATATATTTACTTGAACAACCCCCTGAGATTTTAAGGTAATAAGTTAATAACATTTTAGCATGTTCATGGTTTTCTGACGTTGGTTACTGGTCACATGACATGCAGGCAAAAAAAAAAAAAATATATATTTTTTTATATATATATTTAGTATGTTGTTAGTTTTAAATGATTTATTGTAATTTTACATTTTTATTTAATTTTAATTAATTATGAGCTTTTCAATAAAATCATGAACCCCAGTTTGGGAAACCTTGCCATATATAATGTTTAATGCACTTCATGTTAATAACAATAACGGACTACAATTTGTAAGTAATCTACCCAGCACTGGTCTGCCCTCACTGAAAGTGAAACACAGCATTTGATATTTAGTGCAAAGCAAAACTGGATTTTGGAATAAGATTTCAGTGTGGGAATACACAAAATTCCCATACATACAAATACAAAAAATACAAAAAAAAGTCAAGCAACTGACAAATGTATTGTCACTTCAGATGTGCAAAACTAAACTTTTATAATTTTCAAAATAACCGAGTTGTCTAAGTGACAAGTCAATGTTTAGTCCAGTCTGATTAAAGATGTTTCTTAAGGATATATGGACTCAGAACCACTGTACATACAGGAAATAATCTTAAGTATACAGTCTGAAAATACTACGACTTCTTATATGTCAAAAGATCAAAGAAAATTCCTCACTAATTGGCTAAATGGTTGTTGGACAGCTGTCATGAGTCATCTGTCAAATTAAAGGGATATTTCACCCAAAAATGAAAATTCTGTCATTTACTCACCCTCAAGATGAGTAGATGGCACATTTTTCATGTTTGGCTGAACTATCCCTTCAACATCAACCAGCCAGATTAACATGAAGTTGATTTATAGTTTGGTGCTTTTCTAAGTTACAATTGGTACACACGTCAGTAATAAACAAACGCAACACCAATCTCACCTTGAGCTGAAGAACAACAATCTTTATCAATGACAATGGCACCTGTCATCTGGGTAGTGTCAGAATTTGGGAGAGGGACATCAGAACTGAGGCAGTAGAACAAAGCACAAATTGGGTCAAATTCAGGGTCAGGCTCAAGGTCACGACGAGTCCTTGGATGAAGCTCCATGCTCATCAGTGTGAGGTGCTGTATCTATAGCAGGGGGATTAAAATGTGAGATGATGAGAAATGTTTATTTTCATGGTATTTCAACTAGAGTTTATAACCACGTGAGATGACATGAAGACAACAAAGCTTTTTTTCCTGCTGTTAAAAATTAATTTTAATTATTTATGTAAGTTTGATCAATTACTCAGTTTAATGAAAGCAGTTCATACTAAAACACAGGCAAAACCAGATCCTACCTCATGCAATGCTTTGGCCTCCTGCAAGTTCTGCATACTGACTTTAAAGCCATATGAATTACAGATTGATGGTCCCTCAATCTGGGAGTTTTCTCTCTTCATAACATTCATAGTGGTAAGCTGATTCTGTATGGGATATAATGAATGTGCTATAAAAACCCTATATAATACTAAACAAGGATTAGAAGACTGAAACTTCGGGAGAAAATTTGTTAACTTTGCTCTGACCTTCATTTGTGTGGTGAGCAAAACTCTCCGTAAAGCATCTTTGTTTCTGTTACCCTTTTGATGTAGCCTCTGTGATCTGGGCTCTAGGTCTGTACAAATACAAATTCAAAAGAGTTTTACAATGAGTAGCTAAACAGAAATGCTTAGTAATCATCTTTTTAGAAAATAAGTAAAGTCAAATAAGCATGACTGCGATAAGACAAATAAGCATGACTGAAAATATAACAGTTTACAACAAAATACTGCATTTTTATTTTTTGTCAAATAAGATGCTGCACAACAAAACTACATAAACTATGAACAAAAATGTATTGGTTGTATATTCCTTAAAAATAATATTATTACTTTGAGAAGTACATTTTAGTAATATTTATGTAAATTTCTTCGAGTTAAACCAAACTTTTATTTTGGCGGTGTGCCATGAAGATCGTTGAGTTTCAATGGCTACGTTTACATGCACAATTTTTGGTTCAATCGGACTGAATTCATTCCGATTGATGAATCTGAATGTAGTGTTTACATGAACGCTAAAGAAAGTGATCGGGTTGATGTGCTGTTATAGGCTGTTGGATTAATCCAAATTAAGTAAAAATGTGCACAGCTTATCATCATTGACAAATTTTATAATGATCTCAATACAAAAGGATTTTCCTCTTTAGGTGGGTTCCAGTCTGAAAATGTTTGTGAACCCATTATCGATAACAGAGCTGAACAACTTCTAGTTAAAAGATTCAAACTCCAAGGAAAAACCATAAAACAATACCTTCATTTCTTATTGGACTGTAGCTAGACCCATCGTCATCAATGTAGCTTCTCCGGTGGACAGGTGTGCTATGGAGCAGGTAAGAGCATTTGACATCAGAAACTAGGTGTTTAAAAGGAAAAACTGATGGACTCAAGAGGTCCTTTGGCTGTACATTTTCAAGTGATGTGTCACTGAGATTTTGAGACTGGTCCATGCTGGGGGATTGTAATATATCAGTCAAACCCTCCTTGTCCTCATCTTGTTTAATCTCAGCTGGCCTTTGTTGCAATGTAGAAAGATCAGGAGAATTTGGAGAAGTGATCTGACAACCTTTGTTTGTCTCCATGTCCAAGATACATTTCACACTGTTAGGGCTACAGTTAGATGAAACTGCCTTAACTGGTGAAATATGGAGTGGTAAACTTAAGCCATTCCTACTGATACTCGGCAACTCTGAAGCCTTTTCATCTTTTTTCTCCCAACTCTGAAACCTTTTATCATGATTCTCTGAGGAAGGTAACTTAAAGTCCTCATTTTGAGGTGAGGTCCTGTCATATGTACTCAGTTCCGCAATTGTCTGACCACCCATTTGTTTCCTATTACTCTGAAGGCACTCAAATTGTTTTTTGGCCTGCAGCCAGAGCTGCACCTGTTCTGGACTTGGGGCACACTTGCAGGGAAGCATGATCACTTTTTGATCACTGCCATAAAATGGGTTTTGGTCCTTGGTCAGTATAGAGGATTTACACCCATGGTTTGGTGCAGAGTCTTGATTTGTCATTGCAGAAAATGCAACTTTCCAAAACTGTAAACCGTTTTGAGATAAGTCTCCATGAAATTCAACTAGTTCATTCGCCAGTCTGGTTTCCAAAATCAACTTCCGACCACCAACCCCCCTGGAACAACAACAGTGAAAAGGTTATGGATCACTTCTTTTGATTTCATAGTCCAACTTAAAAGAATATAAAAACACAAAACCCATGCGGGGCTTCCATCATAAATGTTACCTTGGCTTCAAGGGTGCATCTGATGGGTCACTGCAGAATGGTTCCTGGTAGGTGGCTTCTGAGAGGTCCAGTTCCATCAGAGTAGCTATGATTTCTTCCCGAGTAGGTGGAGACATGAGAGGTTTGAGAATGTGAGTTCCTCCACTCTTTGAACTCTGACCTCCATTTTTCAGCTGGGACAGCGAGTTGATGGACTGTGGGGAACTGCTTGGTGTTGCTGAACTGCCATCTAGGGGATCACTATTTGGGGAAACACCATTATATGCAAAAGAAGCAGAAGTAATGGGGGAAAAGTGCTCTGGGTCAAGCAACACATCTCTCTTTTCACAGTGAAAGTCCTGAAAGTGGCTGAGGCCATGGATTTTACCTAAAGACCCCGCCCAATCTTTGCTAAAGATCTTTTCTGAATCAAGAGATACCTTGTTGGGATAAACTCTGCCACTTTCACAAAATGACTTATCAAAGAGTTCTGGACTAAGAGTCCCAGACTTATGCCAGTCCTGTTCATGCTTGCTGTTCTCATCAACAAACACTTTTTGTGTCCTGTCCCCTAACCCAACAAGGGCATTTATTGCCTCCTGGCTGACATCACTGAGGAACTTCTGAGGCAAGTTTCGATCAGTTAACACAAACTGGTTACCAGAATACAGACTGGAGAACTCTGTTTGCCCAATGGCATTGATATCAAAGCTGTAATTGTCTGGGAGCTCTGGGGACAAGCTATCCTCAATAGTGCAACAGCTATCAAAGCCAGGATCAGAGAAAAACACAGGACTGTCATCTGATGAAAGATGGTCAATTCTCAAATCATCCTGTTTTATTTTATTACTTCTGATTTTGAACTGTAACTCTTTTGGCACTTTAGTTCTTGAACCCCTTGGTTTTCTTGATGTTGATGAATGAGCTGTTTTAGATTTGGCTGTTTTGGGAATATCAGTATGTTGACTGGCAGAAGACATATCCTCAGTCACATGATCACTTTCAAGTGGTTCCTGTCCTGCCTTGAATTGCCTCTTCTGGAGAAGCTCCTTCAAGACAGCCAGCTCAGAAGGCAACTCAGAAACACACATTTCCTCAATTTTAGGGTCTGAGGACAATGTGAGACCTGTGTGAAATCCAGCTTTAATTGCACTCGTAGCAGAGGGCAAAAGGGAGGATCTACCATCGACAGACTCCAATAAAGTTATGGTATCTTTCTTTTTTGTTTGCGGCCTTCTTGATTTTATGGTTGTTTTTCTGGTTGACTGCAAATGCTGTATGGTTCTGGGGTTCTCTTCATGGCCAGAGACCTCTGATTTGAATTTATAAATATTCTTTGTGATAGTCCCATCTTGACTCATATTTTGTGATTTGGAACTGCTGTATGTGATGACAGAACATGGATGTCCTACAGTCTTGGTGGATGGGGAAAGAATAAGATTCAGAGATTTTTCAATACATGGATTGAGGACAATCTGTGAGTCTTTTTGTGAGTCATTTGAGGCAATGGCATTGAAGACAAAAACAACATCTTGATTAGATTTTTTTCCAGTGCTGGTGACCTCTGTTTGAGAGCCTGAACAACTGACAGTAAGGTCCTCTTGACTACTTTTTAGAGAACTGGGACGTTGGAAAGGAGTTAAGTCATCAGATGAGGAAGTAATAAGTGCAGTGTTAACTGAATGTGGAGCCTGTGAATTATCACTCTCCTCACCATGGACCTGTTTTTTTCTTAGGATTTGCTTCTCATTCAGCATCCTGTCTTTCTGAGAGGTAGATGTGCCATCTTCAAGAACAATTCCTTCAATACTTTCACAACGTTTTTTATGCCTCCTTAAAGCCACTCGAATACTTTTTCTCTGTGAATCCTTAGTTTTCACTGAATCTTTGTTCACTGACCTGACTGTTGTAGTGTTAGCTTGTCTTTTTGGGCTGGTAGCAGAAGTCTTTTTAAGCCTGGGTTTTCTTCTTCTATCCCAAAGACCTCTTTGGTATGGTTTTGGAGCCAGTACTTGATAGGATGAACCTAGACATGGATCATTATGGGGGTTTATGAGATTTGAATTTGATCCCAGTAAGGGCTCAGTAGGAGACCAACATCTAGGTGGGGTTGAATCAGTAGGACTGGAGGCTCTTTCTGACAAATAACCCAACTCCACCATCACATCAGAATACTCTGTGCAGCAGTCATCTGTGAACTCATTATAACAAGGCCATTGAGGGGGTAATTTCGGTAAAGTTATAAATGCTTTTGCATGCTTCGCCCTCCTAGTCTGACCAGCTCGTGGACACTTAGATTTTGGAGAGGTGCTGGCCCTCTTTGACACTGGGTTGACCTTAGCCTTTCGTTTGTGACATTTCTTTACTTTTGGCTCAAGTAGCGGGTACTTCACTGCTGTAGACTCTGGCACTTTGGGCCAGAATTCTTTGAGAGGAGCGAGCTTTTTGTATTCAGCAAGCTTTTCTGGTGTTAAAACTGTGCGAGTTTCATCAGCGTTAATTTTAGAAATCTTCACTAACATGTTCTTCTGACCTTTGAATCTGTTAATGATTATATATTTAATGATGATTGGTGGCTCTGTTTTAGTCAGTTTCCTCTTTTTTTGGCTAAAGACATGATCTTTGCTTTTAAGGCCTTCATGTTGCACCAAATCTTGTTTGAAAGAACCCGAACTTGCCTGATCTCCATTTTCACTGTCGTAACTCATTTTCCTTTTTGCCCGCAATGTATATTTGCTACCTGGCAAACTGGACAGCTTGGTGCAAGAGAGTTTGGTGGGAATATCTGCAAGTTTATCCTCTACAGAGTTCTCAGTCAAACCTTCAACAGTTGGTGGATCTGAAGTTTCCATGTCAACCACCTTAAACATTTCTTTCTGTTTAAGGGAGCCTAAAGTGTTGGAAAGAAGTGCTGTGGCTTCCTCTTTCGTAGGAGACGGGGTCCTCACAGGACTTACCCTTTTTTGACCTAACGTTGTTTTCTTTTTGATCAACTTTAACCTTGACCTTCGCTGTTCAGGATGGTCTAAGTCACAGCAACCATCCCCAGTCTTGCTTCCAGCCTGTTTTTTGATGGGTCTGGACAGGCAATTAGACAGAATAACGCTGGGGAAAAATTTGTAGTGTGCCTCCTGTTGTGCCACAATGGTCCTCTCAGTTTTATTCTCTTGGTAATCCTCATATCTTATTTTCAGTTTGCTGACATCTTCCTCTTTTTTACCCTGTCCTGTCTCAACTTCTTGAGGGCCCAAAGCTTGGCTCTCTTTCATAGGGCTTTGTGTCTGGTCAAAACTTATCACAGGTCTTCTGCAGTCATTTGGACAGAGTTCCATTTCAGTCTTGGTGGGGCAGTTCATCATCTCAGAGTAACATACAAAGAAGCTCTTGTGATTCTCTGGGATGGATAAATGGTTCTTTTCCACATTTTTAATACTGGTAGATTTTTTTATCTTCTGGGCAAGCTTAGAGTTTCCAAAAATTGAATCATCAGGATCTGGCTGATTAAGGCCAGTGGCTTGGTTTTCATCAGTGTACAAAGAGTGCACACTTATTTTTTCAGCACCAAGTTTAGGTATATTTGCTATGTTAAAAGGGATTGGGTGTTTAACTGGTGGAATATATGGCACCTCTTTGTTAACTCTTAATCCAGTTGAACATTCGTTTGCCTCTTCACTTTTTAAATGCTTATCTGCTAAATCCTCTTGATTGAGTTTCTGCTCAGCACATTTGTATTCAATAACAATTTTAGCAGAAGATGGTGGCTCCATACGAACAGCTTCATTTGGAAAAACATTTCTGCTACCAAGGATCTTGTCTGTTGCTTTTAGAGATGAGCGTGTCCAGGATTCTTTGTCTGTTAGTGATGAATCTACAGAAAACATGACAACAAGTAGGTATACACCACTGTACTGAAAGCATTTATACTTTTCATTGTAGTTCATTAAATTCTTAATTAAAATTCTGCTTACCACTATTCTCATCTGCAGCTCCATCCAACTGTGGAATGGACAGATTAGTAAAGGGAGCACTGTTTCCCTTCCAATACACCTTTTCATCTGATGAGGCCTGCTGCTCTTCGCTGGAGCTTTCATTTGCTTCTTTCATACATAATCTGTGCAGGAAGGCAACATAGATTATGATTAAATAACATGCCATCAAATTAAATAATTGACAGGCATAACATCACACAGGCACCATCTGCTGTGGACCAGCCAGTGTTTTCCTAAGAGGTCTAATTCTGAATGCCTGTTAAGAAAGGTTTAATATTGTATAATAACAGTGTAATATTGTTAAAATGACTATATAATAATGCAAACAAGAATTAAACGCATATAAAAAACAATTCCAAAAATCCTAACGGGAAGTCTGGAGACCTTTGCCTAGCAGAGTGTCCTGGCATGTCACAGTCCCATCTTTGTGACATGATTCTACTGAGCTCTGACTCTTCTTTCTCCAGCTCAGGCCCAGCTTCCTCATCATCACTGTTATAGATGCAGCTAGCAATCCCAGACAGCTGCTGGGACACTACTTTGGACCTGCCAGCTCTAAATCCATCATCAGCCAATGCTTCAAATACATCAACCATAGCCTGGTCTTGACTGCTGTCTGTTAAAACATTGTGGAAAATGTAAATGTAAACTTGAAAATATAATTAGAACATGTACAAGAAAAGAGGAATTATGCATATTAACACATATCCAAAACAAAATTGTGAATATGCACACAAAGTATTGCAAAATAATATTTTTTTTTATTCATCAGTACTTGTGTTTTCCATTATAAATATCCAAAACATGGGTTTACATGAAAAGCATATAACAGACATTTACAGATATTAAGACTTGTTTTAAGAGATTACATTTTGAAATTCACTTTTTCCTACTCCTATTTTTTTTCTTTAACCATAAATCTAGTCAATGTGATAAGAAATACAAACTTAAAAACAAAATTAAATTTAGATTAAAAATATATGTTCTCAAGAAATGCTCATTTTTCTAGAAGTTTGGATCTCAAGAAAAATAATTTTGATATTTTTACTGAGTAAGGAAAAAAAATGCAGTGTGAAAACAATCTAGGGAAAAAGTAAGAGTTTTTGCTTGTGGAAACAGATATATTAGTTGTGATAGTCTCAGTACCAAGTAATACTGATTGGTTGGGTCTCTGAGAAAGAGGGAGGAAGGTCTGACTGTTTTCCAACAAACTCAAAATGGCCTCTTCATCAACAACTGCCACTTCAGCATCTTTCCCACCATGCTTTTGTGTGTCTATATGGTGAAAAGAAAAAAAGGAAAGATTTTGAATAAGACATTACTGACATTACCAAGTTAAACAGGCAGACTGCATATAGCCTCTTTGTTTTTGCAGTTTTCTTTCCCTTGGTGTGATGTGTGGAATTTAGTTGCTTGTCACCCATTTAGTGACACTGAAAATGTGGGATGACTAAGGTTCTGGAACTGGGAAAAGGGGTTCAATTTGAAAGGGGTCCTATCATGCTTTTTTCCCCTTTAGTGCCTAATGTTGCCGTTTGTGCATTAAAAAGATATGCAACGTTACAAAGCACAACGTACACTCCAAAGGGAGTTATTCTCTAAACCAGTAAGCACTGTTTCTGAACTCCCTCAAACACCTGAACTGCTTAGTTTCTTTAGGTGACTGTGCACCTCACCTTTAAATGCATCTGGATGCACATCCACTTGGCTGGCAGGTATGCAAGGCAAGTCATCTGGGCTCAGCACAGTAGGATAGAGTGAGAGCTCAGGGAAAGAGTCAACTTCAGACCCAGTCCTACAAAACAAGATAAACATCAAGCCCTCTGCCTGCCCACTCTCAAGCAATTCAGTGCAGCAAACATTCATTCCACCTACTTCTATTAGCATCCTTATACCTTCAACAGACATCATGGTGTGTGTGGGTTTATGCATGTGTGGATTTGAGTTGTGTTACATCCTAAGACGTATATTTTATTTTTATTTGTTTGTGATACATTTGATGTGTGAAGAGATATATTTGTATTTTGCTCCTTCTTTGTTTGTTTTTTTTTTGTTTTGTTTTTTTATTATGCAAAAATTATACAAAGACAAGCATATACAACTCGCAACAAGTACAAAAACAAATAAACATTCATAAGAATATGTAAAGTAAAATAATTCATGCAATTCATGCCAGGGGTAAAGTTACAACAATTTAAATTAACAAAAAGCTTCATAGGTCTTTCTTGCTTTTTTGTTTTTAATTTTGTCTAATGTAGTACCATCTTGTTTAATCTCTTTTATAAAATGTTCAAAGTTTGGCTTAGCTTTAGTCCATTTTTTCACATGAATGTGATATTTTCCAAATAAAATAAAAAGTTGAATAAGAAAGCACATCGTACTTTTGGAATCAACATTGTCCTGTACAAAAAAAAAAAAACATTTTTGAATATATACAATAAAAAAAAAGATGAGTCACTGATTCTTTGGCATTGCTACAAAATTCACATAAGTTTTCAATATTCAAATTGAAACGTTCAAGCAACTCATTGACAGGGTAAATTTTGTGTAAAATTTTATAAGATACCTCTCTAATTTTATTATTAATAAAAAACTTATTTGTTATTGACCATACTTTTTTTCCAGTTAACATTTTCATATTTAGTAGACCAGTAGTTTGTTTTTAAAATATTTCGAATATATTTGTTACTACATTTATCTATTACTATATTAATATCCCCAATAAATATTGTATCACTACAAAAACTGGTTTGATGATCAACGTTTACAGGAGAGAATCCAGGATTTCGTAATAGTGATTCAACTCTGCCAGGAATTGCATCAAAGATAACAGAGTATTCTTTTGGCCTCACAGGGATCATACATTTATTGAGAAATTCAGAATATGTTAAAAGCAGACCTTGTTCATTAAGCAACTGACTAACCGTAAGAATTCCATTGTCGTACCATGTCTGATTAAAGATTGACTTTTTTTTGTACAAGATATCTTTATTATTCCATATAAAATACTGATGCGGTGAAAAGTTATGTTTATAGATTAATTGCCAAGCCAGCAGTGCCTGCTTATGAAAGTTTGCCAGTTTAACTGGGATTTTGTCCACCAAAAAATTGCATTTTAAAAGAAAATTAATACCACCCAAAGAGTTAAATATGTAATTGGGGAAAACATTCCATACACTATCTTTATTTTTAATAAATTAAATTATCCATTTTATCTTAAACACATTATTAAGATCTGTAAAATTGAAAACTTCAAGGCCACCAAAGTCTCTATTATTATTTATAATATCTTTCCGTAAATAGTGTATTTTCTTCCTCCAAATAAAATCATAATCTTATCTAATTCCCTGACAACATTGTTTGGAACATCTGCTGACATAGATATATAAACAGACCTTGAAATCCCTTCTGCTTTTGAGAGTAGAACACGTCCATATAGGGACAGATCTCTCATAAGCCACATATTGAATCTGTTTTTAATTTTCTCAATAATAGGGTCAAAATTTAACAGGCTTCTTTGATTCAAATCTTTACACACCTTTATCCCAAGGTATGTGACATTGTCTTCAATTGGTATCCCACAAATTTCTTTCAGGAGACAATCTTTAAGAGAGAATAAAGTGGACTTATTCTTATTCATCTTCAATCCAGAGATTCCAGAAAATTCTTTATTACATTTAATAACTTTATCCATTTCGTCACTATTTTTGACAAAAATTGTGGTATCATCCGCTAATTGGCTAAGTTTAATCTCTTTACCAAACACTGAAATTCCTTGAAAACTTGCTTTTTTGATATGAGCAGCCATGACTTGAGTAACCAATGCTCCTTCTTTGTATTCTCTCTTTTCCCTCAGACTCTGACATCATGTTGGATGGAACTCCAAATTGGTCATTTATTTTTGTTACCATCAATGATGACCCAAGATTAGGGTGACCAGATTTCTCATGGTGGAATATGGGAAGGGTGGGCATATATATAGTTACTTTGTTATATAAAAAAAGAACAAAGCAAATTAGAAACCATAAGACAAATACGATAGAGATACAAATTGAATTGAATTGAAGTTTTTCAAATACAGTAGGTTTATTTAAAATGCATACATTTATTTAACATCTTTTGTTGTTTGATTAACATTAATGACACAGACAGGTAATTAATTAGGCTTCTGTCCCTTTAAGACCGAACGCATGGATTTAATATACTTTGTTTACGTTCACTGAAATTTTGAAAATTCTGGTGCAATAACTGCAAGTTCATTGATAACTAATTGTTATTGGATGGTAATTTTGCTCTACGACGAGCTTGGCTACCTTTGAATAGGCTGTTGTCATGTGACAGAACACTACTACTACTCGATCTGATCTCCTAGTCGCAAAGAAATTTTGAAATATGGGACAAAACATGATTTTTTTTCTTAGTAAGTCGGGACACTAAAAATAGAGCTAAAATATGGGACTCTCCTGGGAAAAACGGGACGTCTGGTCACCCTACCCAAGATAAAAGCTGAGCTGATTCATTCAACTTGATTGTGAAGGACTGAAGAGCACATTAGAATACCCAATTAATGCTTATTATATCATCTGTAGAAATGGAACCCATGTCTTTCAGAGTCAGCTTTTTGATCGAACCACAACTTAGGAAATATACAGTACTTAATGTTATACTATTTTTGTCATTGTATTGCTTACTCAAAATATACAGTATCATTGAAACTTAAACTTTACAAACAGTTTGGGAAACTTCAATTCAGTGAATTGACTTGCCTTAAAAAGGTACCTTTACAGATTCTATCCAGCTTATTTTGCAAGAAGAATTAAGCCATTTTCGTTGAATGTGCAAGATTTCTGATTCATTAGTCGCTATAAGTAAATAACTAGAAGAATAAAGCATAGTAATTGATAAAAGTATTTGCACTTAGTGTGTTTATGATAATACATTAAAATAATCATAAATACCAGTTTGCACTATCAAGCAGCATAACATACAGAGCAAGATGGCACCAGAACCGCTGTATGAATGGCTGTACCTGCTTTTTTCATTAAAAATAATGTGGATAAAACTAGGGTTGGGTACCGAAACCCTATTGAGTCACCTGTGTAACTGGTATGTACTAGAACCGAATCAGAACGCAGATTTCGGTGCCACTTTAATGCCTGAGCGATCGATTGAAATATTTGTCCTGGTTCTCTGAAATGAACGTAAGAAGCATGGGCGTCGCTAGGCCATTTTTAGCGGGGCTATAGCGATTAGCTCCATAAACTGTACACAAATTTGTGATCGCCTCAGAGACAGTCCCCTTTAAATTTCATATGAAAACGGCGGCAGACTTCGTCTCCTCCCCGTCTTTCAGCGCGCTCTTCAATCCGCGGCAGCGCAGCGCGAGCGGACTCAAACAGAAACAGAGGACACAAGGCGTGTGTTTATCAATAGATTGTTATAATATCTGTATCTGTGCAGTTCAGTATCTGTATCTGTGATTTTTGCTGTCGTACGAGCTCGCAGGCGATTTTTTTCTCTCGGGAGAAAATCGCAGATGCTCGCATGGTCGCGGCTCGTACTGTGTGAGAAGAATTACGGGCCGATCCGAGACGTTACGAGCACCTCCCGTCCTCCCGATAATTTTCAAACATGTCAAAAAAAATCGGATGCTGTCGGTTTAACTTCGTGGCATATGAGCGGTTGAACGAGACGATTTGGCGATCCATCTGAAGTTGACCAATCAGAAGATGACAAAAACCATATAGTCTAAATCGTAGTAAATTCGTGTCGTGTGTGACTGCCTCCGTACGATTTTCGGATAAACTCAATCGTGACATGTGCCAGAGCTCACGACGTTCCGACCTTCAGAATCGCACCGTGTACGCCCGCCTTTAAGGGAAGCACAACTCGGGAAATGAGAGCATCCGAGGAGCATGTGAATGCTATGTATATCTATTTTAAATATTTTTAATGTTCTTTAATGCTATGCATCGTTTTTTTTTGGCTCTTTTTTTTTTTTTTTAAGTATCGGTTGAGGCACCGTTTAGACACCGGTACCGTTTTAAAAGTATCGATTTGGCACCGGTATCGTAAAAAACCAAATCGATACCCAACCCTAGATAAAACCATTATGAAAGCACCAGCAGAGCTTGCTGGAGCTGGTCTCGAGATGAGCTGTGTTAGATGACTTCTCTGTGTTAATTAGTCTTCTGGTTAATGACAACAAAGGCACAGAGGTGGTTTCTACACAGCTGTCAGGATCCTGGGTAGTGATTAAAACATTACATTGAAAATTGTCTAAATTTCTATTGTACAATTTGTTTGAAAGAAATTCACTTATTCATTTATTTTGCTTCCAACCTGGAGATGGAAAAAAAAACATTTATCAGTGACGTATGGGAAGCTTTACTCACACATCAAATTCATTTTCCTTGAGAATTTCCTTGAATCTCTTCATGAAGTTTTTTTCACTCTCTGCAAACTCTACAAAGCCTCGATCTGAAACAGTAGCCATTGCACAACATGGTGAATAACATTAATAGTGGTGCTGCAAAAAAAGTTTCCATACAAGAGCTTTTCTCACCTTGTGATTCAGGCATGTCAATACGAGAGCTTTGACATCTCTCCTGCCGTCGCTGTTTCTCATCATCCCAGATGGCCTGGAGACCAGGGTTTCTGCCAATCTGATCTGGATACAACATGCAAAAAAAAGCACTCATTAAATGTACTACACAAATAGCACAACGCCAGAGAGACTTAACGTGCATAGCAAAGTCTGATTTGATCTTTTCTAACAAGCAGAAATACATGACAGCACAACAAATACTGGGTTAAAGTGCTAATTACTAGGAAAGTATTTACAACTAATTTCATTAATGTTTAAACAAAAATTTTGTAACCGAGTAGTCGACTAGTCTAACAAACACCCAGAAGACATAAAAAAAAAAAAAAAGATAAAACATTCTGTACAAGCAATCTATTTGAGATAGCCTATACAATCTATGAATCAAACAGTCAAATCCCATATTGAATACTGCTGAAAAATAGTTCATATACATGCAAGTGCTTGCCTTGCGGTAACCCTTTAGGGTAACACTTTATATAAACGATATAAATTAAGCATAAATTAATAAAGTGCTTACAAACCATTAACAAACTATTCGTTTATAGTTAATTCATAGTTAATGAACTGTAGTTAATACAATACATATTTTAAATTCACTGATTTATGCAGTCAAGGTTCTTATTACCCGGTGTAGACAGGGATTTGCACAAACACACACACAGTCTGGTGCACTATCCTTGTAGGGACCATAGGCATAATGGTTTTTATACTGTACAAACTGTATTTTCTATCGCCCTACACCTAAACCTACCCCTCACAGAAAACTTTCTGCATTTTTAGATTTTCAAAAAAACTCATTCTGCATGATTTATAAGCTTTTGTACCCATGGGGACCTCAATTTAGGTCCCCACGGTGACACAAGTCCCCATGAGTTGGTGTGTATTCAGGTTTAAGTCCCCACCAGTGTAGAAAAACCTGTACACACACACAAACAAATCAACCATTCCTTACTCTCAATCTCTAGACGGTTGAGAACATCAGCAGCCACGGCATCAACCTCCAGCTCACACACACTCATCCGTTCCACCTCCTCTAAAATCATTGAACTGCAAAAACACATACCACACATGAAATAAAGGTCAAAATGCCATACAATGTTGGTATGTATGTACTGATGTATAGCAAAAACACATACACACACCTTGGTATGTTGTCATCTTCCCAGCGCATTGTATCTCTCAGCCCACCATCACTGAGTTTAGACGTGCAGGGATTCTTCCATGGGTTGGTGCTACCCCCTAAATTTGACATATGCTCTCCTACTAAAGAATCAGAAACAAGTAGTAATAAAGGTGTAAGGTGTTGGCAAAAAGTACATGTAATCAGTTGAGAACTGTTATTATAAGTAGTATATGAGTGACAACTTAATGAGGAAGTGAGTTGTCTTATCGCTGACTTTTGTGTTTTATTCAGTTTGAGTGCACCTTGTGAACAGGTTTGACATTTAAAAAAATGAATAAATAAATAAATAAATTGGGTGCCCCTTTTCAGCACTGTGCTTGTTGTCATTCAGTTTGTATTTCCACTGCGTGAAGGTAAGGTCGTACGAATTTTTCAATGAACCGCTCGTTTTAAAATTTTCCCAGTCTACTGACATTTGTTATGACATCTGCTTCAAACATTAAAATGCACATGATATCTATACATACATATCTATACAATACGTATATCCACTTCACCAGCAAATTACTCTTCAACAGTGATGCTATAGAGCTAATAGCTGAAGACAGAATTTTAAAGATTGCTGCGCACTTGGTTCTCTGAGGCATAAGGTATACTGTTGTACAGTATAGCAATGCCTGAACATGGTGTGAGATTGTGTTGCACACAATTTTAAACATTTACATAAGTTCTGCCATCACAATGCAGTAATTCCCCCACACACATCTTAACTATATCACATGGGTGAAACTACACCCTGATATTAATAATAATAAAAAATAAAAAAAATAATTTAAATGAACTTAATTACACATGCAACAATTATATTTGCAGAAAGCAGACTTTGTGCTCAAAATGAGCCTAAAGGTTTAAATAATTAGCCTAATTAGGAAGTGTAAAGATACATTTCCAAAAGCACAAAAGTAAGCGGTTATTATTATTATAATTATACAGTAAAATTAAAATAGTAATTACAATTAGAAACTGTTACAGTTTTATCATATGTTCTCATATCTATTTTTGTAATATGGCTTCGTTATAATACTGTTTTGATCGGTTTTCTTTTTGCAATGGTCACTATTTACTTTTTTTTCCATAGTGTGATTTTTGGTGAATTGTATTAAAACCACCAATAATAATAATAATAATAATAATAATAAAATGAAACCCACAGCAAATTAATGCAAAAACATACAAAAAATATTGTCGCCATTTTTTATTCATAGATAACAGGTGAGATTTCAATTATATTTTGATCACTGAACTAGGAAATGTATCCCGTTTCCGTTTCAGAAATCTGGTCACCTTATTGTTTTTTCTTTGTTTTTGCTATTCATTTGTAATCATTTCAAACAATCCAATTAATCATATAATTAACTTAACCATTTATTATTTAACCACATTAAACCATGAGCTGATAAAACACATTCTTATGGAAATAATACTAAAGAATATTGTTATGGAAATAATACTGAAGAATAGTATTTGTAACTAGTAGAGATTTTGGATTATCGTCTCTATTGCATTTATGCTCCTGTGATGTTGTAGTGCTGTGCAATCACAAAAGTTTATAATTTGCATTTGTTTTTAAGCCTTGTGGTTTAAAATAAAGTGATTTTCAACTGATTTTAAACCATCTATTTTGCAAAGCAAAAGTAACTATATTGTGATATTTATGTGACCCGTTTTGACCCATTTTGTTGAATTTTAGGTTTTACACAAAAAATTAGTTCATTAAGCCCTCGTCTAGCGATCCCAATGCTCCACATAGTAATTAAACATACAAAATTATGTTAAAAGAGTTAAGTGTGATAAGCCACGAAAAGGATCTTACTCGCGCTGACTGACACGTCCAAACGCCTCAAACTGTACGTGATCCCGATACACACACACACACACACACACACATACACACATTACAGTGTTTCAAAATCTTGGCGAGTATTCATGCAAACATAATCTGTCTTAAATGATCGTTTGGTTAAATGTTGGGGAAAAACATCTGATGTGCAACATCATATTAGATCTGTGCATTAATATATAGGCCGCCTGTCTCAATATTGTTAATCAAACAATAAAAGTAAAGAAAAAATCACTCAGTGCTCTTAATTGAACTACTTTATTTGTAAAGAATACACTAAAGACTATTGCAGTGATTTTTACTACAGGTCGAGTCTAGGAGAACTTGCAGCTATCAGGGATCACACACACCTAGTTCAGTTCAAGCAGCGGCCTAAAACAGTTTATTTAATCACCAAAAGGGCAAAGGTTCACTTCAAGAATGATCAAAAAGCGGCATAGATGAGTTTGAAGTTCGGTGTAAAAAAAAAACAGAGCAAAACAGAAAGAAAAAGTGCGATCTATATTATAGCTCTCTATGAAGCATACAGACTTTATTAGAGCCACAGAAAGACAAACGTTTCACTGAAAAGGCACAATACACAATCTTCCAGCCCAGGGTGAAGTCTTTCAGAACTTCAGATACCTGTCCTGATCCCAGGTGTTTCATGTCAAATACCTTTTATATTATATACAGTAACTTCAGATACCTGTCCTGATCGCAGGGGTTTCGTGTCAGATTATATTCATACTGTTATAACTTCAGATACCTCTCCTGATCACAGGCGTTTCATGTCAGATTACATTCATACTGTTATAACTTCAGATACCTGTCCTGATCACAGGGGTTTTGTGTCAAATACCTTTTATATTACATACAGTAACTTCAGATACCTGTCCTGATCACAGGTGTTTTGTGTCAGATTACATTCATACTGTTATAACTTCAGATACCTGTCCTCAGGGCCGCATTAACCATTGGGCTAGGCGGGGCTGAAGCCCGTGATTGGCTGTGGAGTAGATTGACGGACATCGGTAGCGCCGATCGCAAAAAACCCACCATGCCCCTCACTTTTTAGTGCTATTATTTAGTGGAGTTTTCCGTAAATTCCATGCATTACCATTAGAGATTAAAACGTCACATTTGAATTTGTTTTACCATGCATTTATTATATATTTTACTTTTGAACAAACTGTGCACGTAGCCTATCTATCAGGTGATCGCTGCGCCTAATGTCTGCATTCACCTCTCTTCACTTCATTCTGGTGTAATCCAGAAATGGTCATGCAAAGAACAATCTTCGATAAGCAAAAATGTCAACTATTCTAAAAAAAAAATAAAAAATAGTGAGAGAAAAAAAATTAGGAGAGAGGGGAAAACATGAGTTAGGCACTAAAATCCACAGCTAGTTTATTTTACTAAAGCTGATGATGGAGTGGGAGTTGTGGAACCGCAAATGGGCCGGACACATGGAGCAGATAAAAACACAGCGTTATTATCCCCACAGATTTTAGGTTAGTTTGATTATTAACTTGATAGATGTAGCTATAGTGCTTTTTGTGTTTGAACAAACTCTATAGGGCTAGTATATTCGCTTATGGGTTGAGAAATTCATTTTGCGCGTTCTGATGTAAGCTTTTCATTTAAACGCATTTTAAGCATTTTGGTTTAAAAACTAATTTAACTGTTCAGGGACATTA